GGCCATGAAAATCAAACAGTCGATATTTTTGCAAGATCACCTCGCAACAAAATATTAAGTGGCACACTCCAGCACGTAATTTTCTTACGTCTTACATCAACCCAACGGACGAGATCCAAAAAAATATGATTAGTTGAACTAGTATAATAAATATATAGCGAGTGGCGATGGCGCCAAAAGCCATCCTTCAACCCAAGATGGGGAAGCATGTTTAGAGGTTGACATTGATGGGGGAGCAGCCAACGACGATGAGGCCATCTAGAAAGGAAAGGGTTAAATTCAAAAGGCAAGATGCGAAAGACAAGAAATACGTACGGAAAGTGTTGCCGTCGCAGCAAACGGGCTGCTGGGTGCTGGTTGGTTTATAATAACCACATGAGAATGTATCGGGGAAAATAGACAAGACAACTTACCAGCTGCCACCTCGGCTGATAGCGAGGGCGCTGATGGGAGTGCAACTAGTACCAACTTGACCGGTGAACTGGCTGAGGTTGATGTTCAAAAGGGAAGCTAAGACGTTGGCCTGTTTCGAGTTAGACGCAAAGGTTTGGTTGCCTATAAAAAAAGTTTTTAGAATAATCAGACCCATGCCTCGCGGTGGAGAGATGGCGAGTTCGAACTAACAGCATTGCATAGAGCCAGTGTTGCACGAATTCTCGATGTCGGGGACGGGGGAGGCAGCGACAAAGGCAACGAGGGCAGTGGCGACGAAGAGGACTTTAGAGAACATTTCTGAATGAGCGATGGGGTTTCGGGTGGGTGATATAGAGAGTGTGTGCTTTGCGAAGATAGGATGTGACGGTGGCGAAGTTGGGTATTCGACTGAAGAATCAATGTCGTGTCGCTCCTGCTTTTATAGATTTTTGCAACGCTCTGGCGGACCGCTGTTTGACTTTCCCTTGATTGAAATAAAACACGGCGTTGATGGAAGAAAAATTGTCGGGCTTGCTGGCACTCCAATTCGCTTCCTGCTGAAGCGGTTACCTTGACAAAAGGGGAAGTCCCGTCACTTGGCGCCCAAATCGGAAATCGTCCTCGCACAAGTCTCCGATTCTAATGTGGTTGAAAATCCTCCCCATGAGCTGCGCAAGGCCCTGCAAATTGGATAAATATGCACACTGTACTTATCGATAGTAGCCAGACCATAACTACCGTTAAGCGTCGTTGAAGTTTTGGCGTAGGACTGACAAACACTTTGCAAGGACTGAGGGTCCGGAAAATGTAATTGCAACGGGCAGAACCAAGGCAGAACTCCGTGCTCGAAGCGAATAACTTGAAGAGATGTTTCCGTTGGCGAGAATTTTGCGCCCCAAAGACTGTAATTTGTCGTTCACTGCTCAGGGACAGCTATCAACACTGCGGGGGTTTTTCTTGATGGTCTACATCGAGACCGGGGGGTCGATTTCTCCCGACCCTGGAAGCGGTGGCAATATGCCGACAAATTGGTGGTTTTATTTTCGGAGGTGCAGGGAGGAAAAGAGACCCATCAGACTTTGAGGCTGGCAGCAGACGCGGAAGCTTGTCGAGTGGAATTTGAGGGGAACTATAACAAAACTACAATCAATCATACGTTATATGGTTCAGAACTTTCCCAGTGGTGTCCGAGATTTTCAATTTCAGAGAGAACCCGAGTTTGTGTGGAATTTGGTTTGAATGGGTGACGGCAAGACGGTTTCGAGAGGCGGAGCGGATGCAGTTGCAAAAAGGGTGTGCCGACGGTTCAACGTTGAACGTTGAACGTTGAACCAGGTTGAACCCGGTTGAATTTGATGGAATCAAGTGGCTGTGTTGATGAACTGCTGTCAGCTATCACCACAATCTTGACTGAGCCCTTGAAAGTTTACATCCAAGATTCCAAGTCGGTAACTCCCTCAGTAAGCCAGATTTTTTTTGAAAATATGTGAAGGCAGAAAGGATGTACTTTCGTTAGTGCATGCACATCCGCAACGGCCCCCACTCAGACAAGTGATGGTCGATCCTTCATTTCAGGCTATGAAGGCAACACGACAAAGTCCTCTTGCGATAGTGAGTAGATACTAGTCCATTGGGGTTTATTAAAGTTTTTTGATGCAGCTTAACTGGTCTTGTCCCCACAGACCTCACCCGACAACCCCGGAGGGTTGCACGCCGCTAATCCCAAACTTATTTTGGTCTCTTTTTTCTCTCCGCTCATCTTCTCAAGATATCAGTAATGGGCCGGCGCAGCATTGCCGCAGATCAGCCTTCGTTCGGCTTCTTCAAGGGTCGGGGAACGCGGAACGTGTGCTTGTATGTCAAAATTTTCAGCGACCTTCGGTACTGAGGTGTTATGGAAGACAGGGAATGTAGCCTTTCGGAGCAGAGTTGTTTGCGTCAGTCAACGTTTATCCTTGTTCGGTGCCAAGTGCCACCTGGTATGACTTGTGATGCACCCCAGCAACAAATGCTTTGTCGGAGCAAGATCGTTGCTTGTTGAACTTTAACGCGCTGCTCGATTCGAAGCGGATGGGCAAGATCAAAGCTCACGGCATCCAAAAAAAAAACAATCAACGTCTTCGCAAGTTATGGGGTTCCCTTGCGCCACACATGGAATCTGGTTAGACAGTATCGGTATGAACACTCAGCCCAAAAACGGTCAAACGATGTCTCCTTTTTCCATCCCCAAAATGCCCGGGAAGCGAACTAGACGCAATCTATTTTTCCACTTCAAACTCGTAGAAGTCCGAGACATCCCAGCAAGGTGCTAGGCCTCGAAAACAACTTGACTTGCTCAGTCGAATAACCAACTTCCCCCCTTCCAGAAACGATGTTTTCGAAAGTCTTCTTTGTTGCTGCCGCTCTCGTCACTCTCGTCGCTGCTTCTCCAGCTCAGAATTCGTGCAACGACGTCTTCTCCCCAAATGTAAGTCGCGTCGCCTTTCTTATGGCTTTATTTTGATTCGCGTTTGCCGTATTTCATGGGCTATCCACCAACCTTGATTTCTTAACTCTTCGTCTCTGGCGAATCATATCTCAAGCTTGGGGTCAAGGAATACATGTGCGTGCGCTTGATTGACACAATTTTCGGCTGCTGCACTACGAAAGGTACTTTGCGCATGAATTCAGCACAAATTCAGCACAGTTAGATCTTTGATTAGCTGTGTAATGGGTCAGTCGTTCAGCATTCCTCTCTCCTCATCCGCGACTAATAGTTCATCTAAGCTAGTCGGACCTATTGTCTTCAACGTCGGGTTGTCGGTGCAGAACCTCTTCCCTCGCGTCAGCTTGATTTTTAAGATGCGACATGTCTGTACCACTCGGACATGCGCTTCCTCGTCTCCGCGCCCGATGCCGACATTTGCAGCGTTGCGGACGACGAAGCTTTCCAACCTGCCGTGGTCGAGATTCAGGGACTGGAATCACAAGACTGAACACACGCTCGGCTGGATAATATGAAGCATTCGCCATGGATGATGACGCTCTCGCAGCTAATTTATTTTTCCCAGCCCAGTCATGTTTGACCTGGGCCTCCACTGCTACCCGTGTTCCGTACGTTCGGCCAGCTAAACAACACGAAGATCACTCTCTCCATGTAATTCGACGACATGTTCTCAGTATCGTTCCCTGGAGTGAGAGCTGGTTGGCGAGTATATCGTGGACTGATGGTTAATTGGCGAATCGGGCTATTTTTAGCGGCTGGAGGGACGGCTTGATTCGCTTCTAGGGCAAGCGTTGTTTGAGCTGGAGCAGTATCGTTTGTCCTGCACAGTAACCATGCGCGAACCATGCCCTGTCCCTTCCTAGGCTGTCTGGATGAGACATGCTTCCTCCGCGTGTTTATCAAACGTTCATCCAACGTTCAATCAGTTCACGATTAGAACAAGCGTTAACTCGCCTCTTCTCTTTGATTGGCATTTTACATATCGGACCAGGTATGAGAATGGAGAGAAGTGCACTTTGTGAGAAGTCCTGATCAATTTTGTAATTTCTAGAGGACAACGTTTTTACGATTGTGCAATGTGATGAAACGAGTTTAAAGTTGGTGTCACTGTCGCGACAGTAATGCGAGGAAGGAACGAGGACGTCGTCTGCCCTTACGCAGGTGTACTCACGTCCATTGCTCGAGGCCTACATTTATAACTTCCTGTTCGCCCATCTTTTACGTGTTTCCCCCTCCCAAAGCTAGACGACAACCATGTCTCCGAAACGGTCAAACACTGGGCTAGTCTCGAATTTCTTCAGCGCCGTCCGCCCATCTACCAAGGAAGGTCGACTAGCCCCGCCAAATAATAAATACTCCAAGGCTTTTTCGTCATCGTCCCCCTTCTTGGCTACGACATCTCTCCTTGGTATGGAACTTGCAATTGAAACCCACGACAACTAAACCAATTCTTCTTTCGTAGGTAAAGTAGCCATCGTCACTGGGTCCTCTCGCTCCATTGGCGCTTCAGTTGCGAAGTGCCTAGGGGAACACGGAGCCAACGTGGTTGTAAACTACGTGAACGACGCCAAAGCCGCCGACGAAGTCGTACAGGCCATCAGGTCTCAGGGCAAGGGAGGTGCCATCGCCGTGAAAGCAAACGCGGCGACGATGGAAGGGAGCCAATTCCTACTCGACGAAGCCATTCGGACATTTGGACACCTGGATATCCTCGTTTTGAATGCGGGAATCATGGGGAGCAGGCCGTTGGCGGAGGTTGATGAGTCGTTTTATGATTCTCATTTTGATACCAACGTCAAAGCGCCTTTGTTCATGGCCAAGGCCGCAGCTCCGCTCCTGTCATCTCGTATGTCTTCTATCCGCGGAGTTTACACTGTGGTGGCTAATGATCTTCAAGCTGGAGGTCGTATTATTTTCTTCTCGTCCAGTCTCACAACCGCATCTAGTACGTCACGTCGAAATGAAGGCTTCGTCCCTGTCTGATGATAATAACTCACACAGCCATCCTCCCCAACTCCCTCTGCTACCTCGCCACCAAAGGAGCAATCGAGCAGATTTCCCGTGTCCTCGCAAAGGACTTGGGCAGTCGGGGAATCACAGTTAACACCATCTCTCCTGGACCTGTTGATACGCCGCTCTTCCGGGAGGGAAAGCCGCACAACGTGATTGAAGCCATTGCGAAACAGAACCCTTCTAGACGGCTTGGAGAGCCTGATGATATCGCGCCGCTAGTTGGTTTTCTAGCCAGTCAAGCGGCTCAATGGATTAATGGACAGAATATACGGGTGAATGGGGTAAGTTCTTTATTTTTGTGCTGCAAGGGTGTGTTCTGATTTGTTGTTTCTTCGTAAAGGCTTTTGTTGTTTGACGAGATGTGGGAAGAGGACTCTTTTCGTCTTCATATATTAAATAGATTTCGTTTATAATATCTTGTGATTGTTCTTGGAGATTTATTGTGTAATCCACCCTGTCGACGTCAAGGAGGATGTGCTGAGAGGAGACTGCGGTGCTACTTCATCCGTTTGTGAATCTGCAGTCTCCTTACACCGCTTTTGATGTAGACTCGACTCCAGCCTCTATGGAATCAAAACCCGGGACAACAAATGAGTTGTTTTGGGTCAGTCCGAATTAGGAGGGTTGTGCACGGGTAATTGATTCCATAGAGACTGGGTGACTTCCCGTAACATAAATCTATATAAACGAATAAATCTGACCCTTATCGGAGTTTGAAATGGGTACCCTGGCTTGTGATTTAATCAAGCAAATAAACCGTAATGCCAACTGATTAGATTTATTCACCTGACATGAATAAACTTACTTCCCTCTCATCTGAGCTGTTTTGAGGACACACAGGCCCATGGATGGGTGTATTATAGTTGATGCTCAATCATATCAGCCAGAAAGTAGGACACACAAAGAATGAAGCCGAAAAATGTCAACTTGAGCTGAACATGCTGTGGTTCTGTGAGTTATGTGCTGAGAAGATTGTTTGTGGAAGGAAAAACAGCTTCGGAGAGGAAATTTTGGAACCAGAGGACGTTGGCACTACTAATAAACTCCATAATGGCTTCAAATTATAACGAGAGAGCAGAGTGCCCTCAGCCGTAGGAGAGTAGAGAGGGATGAGGTAGAGCTGACTAAGCCAGGTGGGAAGAAAACGTACCCAGGAAGGAAAGGTGTCATGATGGCAGGGTTGATTCCAGCGTTTGAAATCTATTCGAGGGGTCTGTACCCTCTGAATAGATTAAGGTTTATAACTGGGTGCCAACCAGGGCCTCCATCAAAGTCGAACCCTTACAAGACTCGGCATCCCGGCAACAGACCCTAGATCTCGTCGATTTATTTAAATCTAGCGAATTTGTGTTACGGGAAGTCACCCACTGGTAGGGTTTAACCGTGATCGAGTAGATGAACTTTTTATTGCGTCCGAGTGAGCTAAAAAGGAAATACACAATGCACGTGCACGACCAAATCAGCGCGACGCGACTTCCGCTATCATGTCGCAGCGCAAACGCGTCTTCGCCAACGAGAACTCGCCTCCTCATACGCCAGCCCCCCTCCAAAGACGCTCTTCCGCCTTCATCAACACTTTCGGCACTCCTCTTACCAACACCACACCGTCACAAACACCATCTCGGACAAACTCTTTTGAGTTTGTCGACGCATTCACGCCCGTTCCGAAAAGAAGGAAACTGCGAAAGGCTCCGTCGGGAGATATAGAAAGCTGTGGGTTACGTTACGATGAAGCAGCAGCAGAGAGTAGGAAAGAGGAGGAAAGGAAAGGGGCAGAGGAGCAGGAAAAGAAGCGGTGGGAAGCGCAGGAAAAGCAGGAGGAGGATCGCCTCAACGAGGCCCTCAGGCTCATCGAGGGTGTCGGCTACCCGACCCTACACACTTTCCTTAAATCCCTCCTCACCACGAAGGATCAACATCGATCCTCACAAGTGTCTCGAATGCTTGTGCAGCACGGCCATTCCCTCTTGGACAACATTCGCCAACGTCAGCCCGAGGTCGCTAACGATTGGGCAATCTCCACAGTTCGTCAACTGGTTGCTGCTGAGGGTGAACGCCTTGCCCAACGATTCAAACCCGAGCAGAAACAGCCGGTTTCGGAGATTTTGAAGAAGTTCTCAATGTCAGAATTTCTCGCGCAGGCGGAGCTTCTGGCCCCCTCAACTTGTCAGGTACTGCGACAGATTGGGTTTCCCCAGTCCCCGGCCAAGGAGAAGAGTAAGAGCAGAGAACTCGTGCGTATTTCCTGTACTATGTCTAATCTATCTTCTGACATTCTTCCAGGTTCTTGCAACGACGATTTGTATGCTTGCTAAGTCTCGAAACGAACATGCTACCGAGTTCCAAACATCGATGGGCATGTACTTTCTTGCATGCGGCTCATCTCGCTCCCTATTCGACGTCCTCAATCACGCCGGCATTACACTATCATACACGCAAGCTATTAGTAAACTCAAGCAACTCAGTGAGGAACGACTCAAGGAGACACAGAGGATCGCGAAAACGAAGGCTTTCATGCTCATTTGGGATAACCTCAACATTGCCTTCAAGGTTAGCGAGCAGCGGCATGACTCCAAGGACCACTTCGACAACGGAACAACGGCAACTCTCGTTCCGCTATACGGTGTTGAATGCGGAGAGCTTCCTCTGAAGCCGAAGCGTACTCATCGTCGCCCGATTCTCAAGTTTGGACCTGAGGATCTCCTTCCGAGTCGTGAGGAAGCACAGCGCGTTCAAGCCAGCCAACTCTGGCACATCAAAGACATTCTATACGACGCATTCCCTGCCCTTCGCAAGCGCCTCAAGTCATCTATTGTACCACCCCCGAGCGTTCACCAAATTCCTGTCCATAAGACTGAGCAGTACCCTCTCCCTGCGATGCACATCGACGAGTCAAGCCTGGAGGGAACCTTGGGTGTTATGAACACCATTTTTCAGAGCACCTTGAAGCTCTCTGAGGAGGACGTGAAGAAGCATGGTCTCGTTATTTGTGCAGGAGATCAACTAAGCCTAGCTTTACTTGACAAGGTCCGTTTTTTATTATGTGTTCATCTATTAGCTCACTTATTTGTCAAGATTTCGGCCATTCGACGCGATGACGACAATTTTATGGATAATGTTGGTCTTTACACGGAGGGGCAGGATGGCGTCCTTCACATTAAATTTTCTCATACTCGCATGGTAGCAAACGAGTCTTGGGGCACTCCGAACTCAAAATCTCCCTGGTCCCTTTGGAAAATCAACACTCTCCTGGGTCGCAAGGCCATCACAGCTGGCTGGAAGGCAAAATCGCTTCCACCGTTCCGTCCGATTTATGAGCTCATGCTCAATCTTACGCTACCTGCAAATATTCTCGATGGATTTCGAATATACGCACCAAAGGATAAATTAGAGGAGTGGGTGGATACAATCCAGACTGTAGAGGAGGTCAACGAAGTTGCAATGAAGGTTTTAAATGAGCTCTGTTCTGGCCGTCGCGTGGCTAAGCTCCGGCGTGAGCGGCCGTCAAAACGCGATGTCCCTCTCGAAAACATTTGCCTCTTCAACCGAGACTGCCTCTACCTTCGACAACTCAAGTACGCCATCAAACGGGGTGATGTTGGGGCCATTCTGGATATTATAACCCATTCCATGCTGGCCTTCCGTGGTACGGGAAAGACCCCAAAATACGCAGATGCGCTCTTCAGTATGGTCATTCGTTTGAAGAGGATGGAACCAAAAGTTCGGTATGTTCTTTTCTAGTTCCTTTTCAATAAGTTGATTCATGTCCTTTAGAAATGCGTGGCTAATAAACTGGCTTGCTAATCTCTCGGGCCTGGAAGAAGCATTCAAAGAAATGGACCTCCTTCAAGAACATCAAAATTTTTGGGATAAGGTTAGTGATCTCTCATTTACATCGCAAATTTTATTAAGAACCTTAGATCATCTATAACGCCAAGGGCTCCAACCGTACGTGGGCTTGGCTAGCCATGGTCTCAGTTTGTATATTTGCCTTGCGCGACGTCATTCGAAAAATGCAGAAAGAATTCGTGACACCTTTCAACAGCATCTCACACACTAGTCCCTCCACAGAGACTGACATCAAAACAATCCGCAATTACCTTGAAACCCAGCGCCTCCAAACGTACCACCCAGAACGCGAAAACTATTCGAGCGCAACAGAGAGCCGAGATCTCATTGAAGCTGGTTCCGAGTATGCTAATACACCATCAGCCTTTCGAAACTTTACCCACACGGGATACAGCTACCACAACCATGGGGTGCCAGAAGCTGCTCCATCATTGGAGACCAACGACGATGAGGATATGGGTGATGATGGAAATGATTACTGTGAGTTGGATGGCGATGAGGCGGTTGATTTTGAAGATCTTTTACTTGATGAAGAAGAGTTTCCGCTGGGATCAGACGTAGGTGATTATCTTGCAATGGTGCATGAGGTCATCGATGAGCTTGGACGTTATGAATAAAGTGTGTAATTTATTCATAATCTGCCGCTGTCTTGATTACAAAATCCAGTTCAGTTTTTGTGTTATACCTTGCCCGTTCTTCCTCCTCCTCCAGCCCATAATCTGTGGCTGTCTTGATTACAAAATCCAGTTCAGTATTTGCTTTATACCTTGCCCGTTCTTCCTCCTCCTCCAGCCCGTCCAATGCCTTGTATATATCCTTGAGTATTTCCATGAGCATCTGTCCCCACTCTGTTGGTGTGTTGGCCGTTTGGTCATACCCAACTGCCCATCGCACATGCTGTCGTACCTGTGAGTAGTTTACCAGCTGCTCACCACAACTTGCCAATTTTTCAATAACGTCATCGCCAATGATTGTGGCCCCAGAAAAACTTGTCAAGGTGCCATAGTAAGCATTCACGAGAGTCTCGTCACGCCAGTTCTTCAGTCCATTGCGAATATAACCCTCTTGTTTGGGCGAAACAGCTTTCTTTTTGCCACGTTTCAACCCTGGGACCACAGCTTTGACAGTGACTTTCTCGACTGGAAAGAGTCGTGGTGTACAGTTGTCGCAGCACCGCATACCTTCAATTGATTTGAATGTGGTATTAACTCCATATTCCAGTTGCACTATTTGGGCAATCAATCAGTACATCAGGGAAGTCCAAAGGTAAAATGTGCATACGCTTCTTGTTGTTCCCAAAGAACTTATCCCAAATGTGTCGTCGGCAACCTTTCGTTGTCACATATTGCGTAAGAGCATGAGACTCTCGTATATTTGTATCTTTCCCAAATTTTTTGGTGCGTTTGGCCTTTTCACTTGTGAGTTGCTCGTCTGTTGAATCTTCGTCATCTGCTAAGCGGATGCCCTGTTCGTCGAGTACCTGAACAACAGTCTCGGTCAGTTCTACATCTTCCACTTCACGGTTGAGGGCCTCTGCCCCTGTGGTGGAGTCGATTACCAACTCGACTGCATCATCTGTCATGATACCATCTTTTGCCGTGCTCTTGGATACAATAAGAATAGCTTCTCCAAGTGTTGAAAGATCCCGGCCTGCCCTGCCAGCCCATTGAACAAAGGCACAAAATGTTGGAGGAAGGCCCCAGAGGACAACACGAACAACATTCCGAAGATCGCACCCCTGGTAATGGTGAGACATTCAACTTTCAGTATATAAAATTGACTCACCATGCCAAGTGCCTCTGTGCAGGGTAAAATTCGGATATTACCTGCGCGCAACTCATCCTCAATCTTATGCTTCTGCTCCTGGCCAATCAAAGCATGATAGAAAGCAATGCAGCTAGTTGGAAGGCCATGTTCTTCTGCCCACTCCTTGGCTCGATCAGCGCAATCCTCTGTTGTTGACCTTTGGTTACAGTAAACCAGAGTTATGGGAACATCCATTGGCTGTTTCGCATTGGGCGGGATTAGGAATCGCAAGTCACCCTTGGAATCATCAGAGTGTTCCATGACTCGGACAGAAAGTGCAATGTTGGGACGTGCATTTGTAAGTCGAATCATTTCAACATCTTTGGAAAGCTTCAATTTGCCACAGATGTCATCCAGGACATGTTCAGGCAAAGTCGCAGATGCGACAAGGAATGGAACATTGCCTGGGAAACGGCCACGCAGAAGTCCAAGGGCTGCATAATCAGGCCGGAAGCTACCCCCCCAAACATTCATGCAGTGTGCTTCATCAATATTGACTGCCCGCAAATTACGGATAAACAGGTCCTTCGAAAGAACAGCCTTTTGGAATTCTGCAGAGATGGCGATCTCTGGAGAAACAAGTACTTGGCGAAATTTACCATCGACAATATCCTATTTTTTTATCAGGTGAAGTACTTGTCATTTTTGAGAAAGAACTGACATTGTAAAGTTGATCAGGACCTGCACGAGATAAGGTCTCCTGGCAGACAGCAACAGTCTTCAATGCTGCACTATCAGACTTGAATATTCATGAGTATTTTCGCATTCTAGTTGAGAGATCGAGTGAATTGACCTGGTCTACCATGAGGGCCGTGAGAGGTGAGATAGTGAGGGCCATATCCCTGTCATTCAGAAGCAAGGGAAGTGAGAAGCATAGTGTCTTCCCACTGCCAGTTCCGACATCCAGGACAACATCTTTACCGCTTAGTGTAGCCAATGCACATTCTAACTGCCATCGGAAGGGCCTTTTTCCTAACTTCTCGAAGGCTTTATCAGAAATGAGGGCGAGGTCAAGCTCATCAGCTGTATATTGCTTGACTTTGGACTGAACAGGCATGGTATTTTATTGGAAGATTCACGCTACCCCAAATTTTGCTCTACATGTCTCACCGACGCGTCTTGAATGCGCTTGTCGCAAATAGGTGACGCATCATGTGCACGTGGATTGCTTACCTTTTTGGGTCACTCGGACTTTGAAAAAGTTCATCACTTCAATCACGGTCAATCCCTCCCAGCCGTTATGGTAAGTATTCTGATCCGAAATCAGTATCTGACCATAACGGCTGGTGACGAGCCTACTTTTGATGCATCAAACCACACCCGCCTGACCCAACGCCTCCTCCTCGTCACACTCCCACCACCCGCAACGTAGGGTGAAGGCCGCGGGTTCTGCCACGTATCATTCGAATACACCCAGCCATCTACAACCCATCAGTCCCATCAAATCACAATGACCAAAACGCAGCACGCCTACCTCCATCCGCACTACACCCCGACCAATCACCACTCAAATCCTTCCTCCAATCCTCCGTCTCGACGAACGCCCATCCATCAGATAGGGAAAAGGTCAGATTGCTGCTACACGCGAAACTCGATCAGTATGAGTAAGTCGCGAAAAAGAGTGAAAACAGACCTGACTTCCCCATTACCTTCGACGCCACCACTCCACCCGTCTCGCCCCCTGGTCCATGCCATACGCTCGTTGGGCTTGAGGTTCTGTTTACTCCACCCTCGTTGGGGTGGTGATGGTCCTGAGGTCGACGATGATAGAGACGGTGTGTCCTGGGCTCCACCAAATCGCTCATTCTCCCACAACTCCACTTCCCTCAACTCCGAGTTCCAAACGACATCCGTCAACCGGTCGTCATCCACTAAACGCTGTACCATCATCGAAACTGGCAAAAGAAGGCCCTTGGAATCGTCTTCTACGACGTCCTCCTGGGGTTGTTGTTGACGTTTCGCTGCAGCTGTAATTCGCCCTTTTACCACCTTCGCCTTTTTGATTACCATAGGGGTCAGATCGCGAAGGGCTGGCCCGATAAATGGGAGAAGGGCCCGACCGTACGGGTGCGTCACTGCGAAAGGCGCTAGGCCCACGAAGAGGCAGACTTGGCGGATTGGGAAAGCGGGAAGGGAGATGAGGAAGAGAAGGGGCGGGAAGGAGACGATGAGGAAGGTTAAAATGTGGGGTGTGTATGGTGAATGGGAAGAAGGCGATGGATGGGTGGATATTGATCCCTGTGTGCGAGTGGCGGAGAAGTGCGCTGGGGAGAGGGAGAGGTGGTACGTGTATGGTTCGATCAGTGTGAAAGCATCGGAGCTGAATCAATGGGAGTCAGTGCGAGTTTTGGAGTAAGGGAAACAAACGAACAAGGCGCCCATTAAATTTTGGATTCCTTGGATGTTGGCTTGCCAGGGTATGGAACCCTCTGTAGGTGGCGGAGGGAGAGCCTCGTTCTCGGCAGGTTCGGATCCTGATGACGTGTACAAGGGGTCCGAACCGGGAGCGGAGGGATACGGATACGTGGCAAGGATGATGGCGATGAGTGAGATGTGGGGTATTAGCAGAATGAGACGAGGAAAGTAGCCTGGTGGAACTTTGTCAGGAAAAGAAACACGAAAGCGAACGGAGAACGTACACAGCAGAGCATAGGCTAACATCCAGACCGTTGTCACTTTCCAACCCCTCTTCCATAGAAGGATCTCCTCTATCCTATCCTGCAACCAAAACACTGGCCCAACCTTCGCCACGAACCGCTTGAAGTTGTTGGTCGTTATCGGGAGCGACAGCGGATCTTTGGATGATAATAGCGTTGGTTTGGTGGGCTCGCCCTTCTTCTTTGCTACGGGTTTTGGCGTCGATGTACCTGGGCTCCCCAGAGGATTAGAAGGCAGCGAAGATGACAGCAATAACTGTGGAAGGAAGGAAAGCGTTGGAGAGGTCAGGGAATCGAGGGACATTGATGAGGCTCTACGTCTGAGAACTGAAGGAGATGGGGGTGGAGAGGGCATCGGAAGACTTGTTGTAATCTTGGGCGCAGGCCTGATCTCGTTCGTTTCAAATCCTGAGATCGACGCTGCCCTTAGACGGGTTGCGGCAGCGGGTACGTCGACGTAGTCCAGAGTCGCCATATTTTACCGGTGAACACCAATTGGCATAAAATTCCGGTTGATTTCGTCTGTACTTTGAGAGCTAGGGACTCAATATTGCAAATGGGAAGAGCAACCAATCCTTTAGAGAGACAGAACACTTTAGCAGGCAAAAAAATCAGAACTGGAGGACCTACGATATTCAGCGCTTGAGGCGGCGTCGTGGTGTCCAAATCCGATAAGGTTATAGTGTGCAAACGAGCCCGCTTTCATCGATTCTGAGCATCGGTTTCAAGAACAAATGGAGGGAAACGTACAGTTGAAGAGTCCTGAAACGTATTTCTGGGATATCGTTTGGGTCAAGCTTGGGGTTTATTACATAATACTTGGTTTCAACTTGTTTTCTTCGCACTACTACTATTGCACTACTAGTATGACTTCCGTCCCCCTTCGTCAAACTCCATGGTTCCAAAGCCAAAAATGGTTCACCGACATCCATTTCGACAAAAAGAAGCTCCAAGAAATATCCAAAACACTTCCCCTCTACAAAGTAAGTATAATTTTGATGTTGTGTATCATGCTTGACCTCCGTCACCATCAGGATCTAATAGAAAAATTGGAAGCGGACGACACTGCACTAATCATCGATGACGCCGACTGGGCTTTTTGTATCAGAAGCATCACCGGCTTGCATTTGAGCATTTGTGATTTCGGGCGAACAGTTATGGCCCCTTCCGTTTCGCGGGCGATCAAGACACTTTTAGCGTATAGAGCACTCGACATCGCCTGTTACGTGCTGGATCTTGCTCCCGAGAGGAAGTCACCTTTGCCTTCGGGGAAACCAATTAACGACCATGCCGTAAGTCTTGCATTTCAACCGCCAACCGCCTGTCCTGGCCATTCGTTCACCAGTCATATAGGCCCTTCAAATTTCAAACTGGGCTCACGACATTCTAGAAATGGAACGGCTTCTCGAGGCATATTGGGCTCAACCATCAATCGCCATTTCATTGTCTACCTCGGCCTCGTTATCGGCCTCCTCCTCCAACACTCCAAGTACAGCCACATCAACTTACACGGTGTCCAACAGTGCAAAGGGACGAATCATACGGTCCATGAGACAAAGTATGGACCTCTCGAGTTCTGGTCGCCGGTCTGAAAAGGTGCATCGCTTCCTTGCATCTTTCCATGAAGTGAGCGCTGTAATGGGATACATCATAAGCCACGTACGCCCTTATCGTGTTACATTGCACTCTTACTCACCGTATCGTAGGGAACCACCCATTTACCCAACTTGCCTCCCGAACTTATTGCGCACTGTGGAAAACCACCCAGTAATGATGTCACCCTTTCCTATGTTTTGTCCGCGTCGTCTTCTCCCATCGTGTTATTCACAAAATATAACCCTACCATGAAAAATCCGCTCAAATACCTTGATGTCAGTCTTGATTACGACTTGCAACTATCTTGCCACTGACTCTTCCAAAGTTCTGGTCCACTTCGTTCGACGATTCATTCCGCGTTGTCGACAAGGCTTTATGGACCGCCATAGTTGCCGTGATGATGGGTCATCTTGATGCAAAAGCTGCCCTTCGTCGATTCTTCAATGAATCGAGGGAGGTTTTGAACCTTGAAAAAGCAAAGTCGCTTCTTGAGAAAAGCATGAAGAGAAATTTGCCGACGGAAGTTATCAGCAATGATGGCCAGGCCACCCAAGGTTCCACCACCTTTCCCGTGAAAAAGAGGCGCGACTTGAGCGGTCGACCACTGGTTCTGCCTAACACTCTAACGCCTGGTCGTCCGGACGCATCGAGGATGTCTGACTCTACTCAACGTGAGCCCATGTTAGTGAAAGATGAACCCATGGATCTCGATGAGCCAACGCAGGACACGCCTCTATCAAGTTCAGCAACAACACTACCTCAGCCGTCCAAATTGAGTTCCACTACGCTAGCCCCAAAAAAGACGGATATGACCACCAATAACACAGGTCCATCAAAGTCCAGTTCTACGATGTCGACAAGCGAAAAAACTCATCCCTTGAGTTCCTCGATGACAGCAACGGACAAGTCAACAGCAACCCAAAACCAGACGAGTCGCCATAATCCTTCTTTCACGAAGTCCCAAAAGTCACCAGTCATGACTACGACGCAACCCGTTACCACATCCTCTCGTCATCCTTCAACGGCATTGAGGAGGAATGATGCACCATTCAGAGGGGACTGGCACGAGATCAGGAAACGGGAAGATCGGTTGAATGATTTTTTGACTAATCACGCTCGGTCTATGGCCAGAGTCATTTATTGGTCTATGCGTGAGCTCGAAGATTGGCCCAAGGTCGATGATGTTGGTGCCGTTAAGTTGCATAACGTAGGGGCAACGGATTCCGTCCTCATATACTTACGTCTGCTGACACCTGCTCCAGGTCGTGTTTGCATCCGAATCTGTCAGCTACCCCGTATCTGGTAGTGAAACAATTCATCACTACCGATCAGCTGGACATGTAGGCACAAACTGCCTTCATCTCGCCATTACTGATTTGTTAACAGAGTGCCGACGCAAGTACCTGGTTTGAAAACCTATACAAACGAAGTGATGTTATCAAGGCCACTCCTAACGCCAACCAATCTCTCGTCCTTTATGACAAGGAGGCGTTCAGGACCCTCGACACCTCTCGCTTGCAATCTGATTTTCGGTCACACCACATCCTCATCACCAACAAGTCTTACACCGCTCCCAAGTTTAATAAAGCCGCCCTCATCAACGTTCTCCATTCAGAGTCAAAGCCATTCCCCATTATCTGTAAGTCTTTCTTTTTATCAGCTTGGGACATGCGGGAACAAAATCACTAGATTATTCAGAGCCGCAGAAAACACCATTCTATCAAAGGGTCAAAGGCTTGTTAGATCAAGTCGAAAGCGATGACGGTACTTTGAAAAAATCGGGGAGGATTTACACCATATACAAAACTCCAACTATGGATGGTCCACTTCCAGATTTACGCATTGCTACTGACATTCAAGCATTTTATGTCACTGTTGACCGACCACTTTGTCATCGCCGAGCATTTCCGATCTCTGGTACCCAATGGGCTACCATATCCACACCTCACGCCATCCAAGGATATCAGGACGGTGGTTTAGGAACTTATATTTATGTTGAAATAGGGTTTCTATTTCTCTTCATCGCCAAATCGGATACCGACGATGAATTCCCCTTGTGCACCAAATCCTTTGACCAACAAACATTTGATGTAGCGCTCCTTGCCCCGGGAAGCACCATGTGAGTATCGCTCTCACGTCCTTCAAACACATTACCTGACACTCCTCATTTTTTGACTAGTTATTTACGGCCCAGTACAGTCTGCTATTCTGTCTCGTCAACCGCATGCGTCATCAGGGGCGGACATTTTATGAGCCGCTCCACCTTGCGAACGACGGCCCTCGGAATACTCAGTACTTTTGACACGCTTTCAGAGCAAACCACATCCTCTCTTGACATGATCCGGTACATAGTTACCATGTTTCATGCAAATTGGGTCATCAAAGATGAAGAAGAGCGTAAGTCCTTTTCAAAAAAGCCAATACGTCCAGCTCTTACCGCCCAAAAAAGATCTCGTGGACCATTTACCTGATATTGAAACGTTCGACGGCATCCTTGATGTCTTTCACATCTGCATCATCGCCGAGATGGGAGCCGTTCTATACTCTCCACGGTACCAAGGAGATGTGGTCAACTATTCAGTCAAGCACCGCATGTCATTCATCCACTGCCGCGCGCTTGCCCACCAAATCTTGCGACACCTGGATACATCGTATCAATTAACATCCTTGTCTGGTCAACGGAATGAAATATCAACAGTCTACCTCAAGTTCCTCGTGCAACAAGTGCAAGTGTTTTGGCTCCAACAAACCAAGACTCATCCCTCCTCAAACAACGCACATATGTTCCAAAAGGACCTGGATGCCATTGCCGAGGCTATAGCTCGTTGTTTCCATGGCAAGGAATGGTTCTGGAAGGTTTGGGCGGAGTGTAATCAACCTGAGGATCAATCCTCGCTTAGGTATGGGTACCATGGGGAGAATTATACCGTTGTCCCCCCCATCCGAATCATCCAGTCGGGTAGACCGATATCTCAAGGTCAGTTTCCTACTTCCACAACGATGTGATACAGCTCATCCATTCCCTCACAGAACTACTCGACTCGGACAAAGAGATGTCTCTCGAAGAGGAGGACGACAATGATCAACTTGCTCTAGAAATATGGAACCGTATGGCGGAGATGAAGGCCTGGGCCAAAACACAAAATGAAGCAAAGTAGATCAAACGGAGCCTGCACAAAACACCAAACATACCCTTTCCATTCTGCGTAGATATTATCCAAGTCAAATGAAGATGAGTTCCGAGCTTCTTCCAGAATATAAATACCTCGTAGTAAAAATTACTACCTTGCGCAACCCGCCTGTTCAGTTATCTCCTTGTCAAGACGAGAATGTACCGAAATGTAGGGGAATGAGCCGCGAAACGGGAGGGCCGATGGAGGCGAAGAAGGCGCGCCAGCGGGGGTGGGGTTTTCGTAGTGGGAAATAAAATCAAAATCTCCGCCCCCAAACGGATCCGCAATAACGTGAAACTTCAGGTCGATATCTGGCCGCTGAGTCCGGAACATCTCGATTTCCAGGGGAGGGGTTGACGACGTGATGCTCAAGTTCGCCAGCTGGGGACAAATAGCCTCTCCTTCTTCGTTGCGGGACGCAAGGATATCCAGCACCGGTGAAGCGTCGATGTTGCTGACCGTAAGGCCAACGAGGGACTTCATGCGTCGAAAACACCAATCCCACACTCCTTCCGTCTCACCAGCTCCGCGAAGAATAGGTACGTTTACGAGTTCCAGCGTCTTCAGACCACCGCTACCCACACGGTCCGGACAGGGAAGGTCCATCCTGACTAAAAGTTTACGGAGCAGGTTTTCAACTGATTCAGCGCTTCCGATACGCCTTCCGTCGAGGTCGTCGATACGGAGGGACGTAAGGTTGGGAAGAAGGAGGTGAGGAAGTATATATGAAACGGAGTTTGTGCGAAGAGAAAGTCCGGTAAGGTGGGGGAGGTAGATGAGAGTGTTATTGTGTTCGACATCGCCGGTCGCGTGATCGCTATGAGGTGGTGGAGCGTCGACCACCCGAGCTTCGAGGTTAAACTGTACTAGGGACGTGGTGGAACGTAAAATATGGAGGATAATGTGGAGAGGGAGTGAGGGGAAACGGATGGGGAGGGTAATGGACAGTGTCTGGAGGTTAATTAAGTGTGTTGTTGCTAGAGGGGCGATGCCATGGTTGATGAGGATGAGGTCCGTGAGTTTGGGTAGAAATGGGAAATGTGGTTGCGCCGGCAAGGATGAACCTCGGTTGACAATGGGGGCCAACCGTGCGTCTGGAGAAATTTGTAAGGTGAGAGAGGTGAGAGCGACTACCGCGTCTGTATCAAGGGGCAGGGTAAAGATCGCGTCGAGAAACGATTGGGCATCCATTTCAGAGGATGCTTGGAGCTTCAATGACCTTAGTCGATCAACGCGCCGACGGAGGACACCAGAAACTGAAAGTTCCGCCGCCAGCAACTCTTTCGAAGGGGATGTAGATTGCGCTCGTCCATCGTCAAACGACACTCTGCGCACATCCAGAGTAATATCTACCATGCACAGCCCTCCCACCGAAAACCACAATTCCACTTTTCGGTCACATGCGACGCCCGTTGTTTCGGTGATGGGAAGGTGAAGATGGTACCAAATCCCTGGAGTGGAGTAGACAACCTGGTGAAAATTACGTGATACTCGTGAGAGAAGGAGAGGGGCGTCGGGGCTGTGTGTAGTGCACTGATAGAAAATCTCTCCCAAAAGCTCAGGAGGAAGGTCATTCATGGAAGTAGGTCGTTCCATCGCGATAGGTGGGATGCAAGGATTGAAAAAGAAGGTCTGTAGGATAAAATGTCCATTATTCTAGACCTTGAAGACGGGGCTAGAACTTGGCCCACGGAACCATATTTGTATTGAGCGGGTGGAGTTCCGCAAATGAGCCAATCCCGCAACATGGATCTGATAGAGGTCAATAGTAATAGTTTGGAGATTTAAATCATACACCCAAAAATACGTGCGTAGAGTTGTCGGTGAGCTCTCCGGTCAGTCAAGCTGAAAGCGCCTACCAAGCGCCAACCAAACGCATAACAGAAGGTTGAAAATGGAGTGCCACGTGATATTTTCTAAGGGCCGATGACCCGATGCCTAGGAGAATCACGCATGTGACATGTGACGTCGGAATTTGAGGCCATTCAGAAAGGCTCTCGCACGAATGCATAAGTATAACTAATCCAAATAGAGGGAACGACTCAACGGGGCTGGCGCGAAGTTGCAGTCGATCCTTAGGTGCATAAAATACATGTATTCGTGAAGTATGGTAAGTTCGAGTATGGTGTAACGGCTAACATTACCGCCTTTCACGCGGTAGCTCGGGGTTCGATTCCCCGTACTCGAATCCCTCGAGACTCGTCGAAAAGATTGTTTTTTATGTTTCATTATATATTTTGCAATGAGATGATCCGAAGCGACCAACAACAAAAGCAAGAATAGATTATTGATCATGTGGTATTCTTATCTATACGCATGCGTGAACTTGGCGAGATCACACTATAACTCATATCGTCAATGACGCCAAGTAGAACGAAAGATTACCAGGTATCAACACACCTAAACATATCTAAGTCTGGATACGCTACACTTAGACGAAAACTAAACGTTAAACCATCACACCCACCCGCCTCCAATACGCCACACTCGCCCTCGCCGACTCCTCCTCATTCCCTCCAACCAACTCCCTAAACGCCGCCGAATCCCTCCCCGTCCCATCCATGCAAAACCCAACCAACCCAACCCCCAACCTCCCAAATTCCTCTTCCAGGAACCTCATGATCGGGGTAGATGTCAGGACTTCCTCGCTATCCCGAACGCAGGCTATCCATTGTTGGAATGGTAACAGGGGGAGGGGAGTGGCGGTACCGCTGAGGAGAGAGGCGAGGGTATGGGTTATGTGGGGCCAGGGGCGTCGTATTGGGTTCTCAAGGTGATAGATTGGTTTGAAGGATGGCGAGAACAAGAGGTCGATGAGGATTTCGCTTGCACGGTCGACGGGGAGCCATGAGGCTGTCTATCACACGAAAACATCCCATCAAATGGGACATAAAAACGAGTAAGGAAAGACTCACCCCCCGAAAATCAGGCACAACCCCCAAGCTCTGCATAGTCCTCACCATCAACGGGACATGCTCCCATTCATTCCACGCTCCTTTATCCATCGTGCCTGTTATTTGTCCAAGACGTACGGCGGAAGCGCGTACTCTCGACCCAAAGAGCTGATTCACGCTCTCAAGTAGTTGCTCGCAGACCCATTTGGCTTGTGCGTAGCCGAATGGCGCGGGGTGCGTTGCGTCTAGTGGGATTTCTGGTACTTGGACGGCGGGTATCTCCGAGGATGAGGAGGAAGAAGGGAAAGTGGATGAAGAAGGAAGAGAATAGCGGCTTGCAACTGCAATGGAAGAAGTGAACATTATCCTTATCGTTCCGGCGTTCAAAAGGGCCAGTCGTATGAGGTGACACAATCCCTTTACGTGCGGCTCGAAGGAGGAGAGGTGGAGGTTGAAGTTCACGGGCCAGGCATTATGTATGATGTGCGTCACGCTCTTCAACTGTGCACTGTTCTTAATTAACCTTACAAAAGGAAAGAAAAAAGAACGCACCTCACCCAACTCCCCCTCACCAAGCTCGAAATCCACTTTCGTCAAATCGGCCTCAAGGAGAACGACCTTTGCCCAGTCCTCTCGGCTAACACACGCTCCGCGCCTCTCCAGTGCCTCCGTTTGGCGTTGATGGAGACTCAACCCAGGAGAACACGCCCTATTCAGACAAATGACCTTGGACACCCCAGGATCTTTGGCCAACCGAGCAAGGAGGAAACATCCCAGGCTTCCTGTCGATCCAGTTAGTAAAACAACGGAGGAGTGGGAATCTTGAGGTGGTGGTGGTGGTGGCGATGCTGCACCTGCACCGGCCCCGTTCTCGCTCGTTGGAAGCAAAGAGGCATAGCTGCCGAGTACCTCCCGATATCGCCCAACCATCTCTTTCATCCCTCTTATCCTCCCCTCTTCATCATCCACCACTTCTTCCCTAGCCATCCGAAACAGAGATAATAAAGCCGCTGTCATCTTATCCACTGACGGATAGGCAAAACAAAAGTCTTTCTCCAGCTGAGGCTCACCGAAACTTGCTGCTCTTGAGTTCCTCAACTGGTCAAGAATGGCACGTTGGACGCGGGAAGCTTGTAAACTGTCCAGACCCGCTTCGAACATGTCAGAGTCATTTTGGGGAAGGGAAATGCCAGTGATGTCTTCCACGATCTGGTGCAGACGCTCACACAGCGCAGAGCTGGACATAGGGAATTCGTGCGCCGTATTGGGACCAGCAACGGAACCCAGGCTCCCCATACGTTCATAAGCCCCTCGAATCTCCCGCTCAAACAGAGCATAATTTGCCTTCCTGGCTACGCTCCCTTTATCCGTCCTCACGAGCGGCTTGCACTCCCCGAAAGTGCATACAACGAGCTCGGAGGATATTTGGGCATGTGCGTCAAGGAGGAGGTTCGCGCGGTCGATGTAGGTGAATATTCCCTGCTCCGATTCCCCGGCTCCAACTTCAGCTTCACCTTTCACATCAAGCTGAGGTTGGTGAGGGAAAATTCCACTGCCAACCACCCCGCCCCGCCCACTGCGGAGCTCAATGACAACGCCAACAGCCACCTCCCCTTGGCCAAACGCCAACACCCCCCTAACGTCCGGATGTTCACCAATCAATCGTTCTGCAAACTCGGGGTTGAATTTTTCCCCGTTTGAAAGGACGATCAGGGTATCTGTGCGGGTGAGGATTTGGTACTGTTTGGGTTTGGTGAAATTAGTAAGAGAGGTGGAGGGAGGCTGAGGAACGGGATGAGGTCGGG